CAATCGCAGTAAGTGATTGACCTGACGACGATCGTCTCACTTAGCTTAAGCACCTAAGCATTGGCTCATTACAAACACCAACGCATCGGTTAAAAAGCAAGCACTTATACGAAAATTTTTCCAAGATTAGATTTTCATCCCCAACTGACAATATTTCTAAATGTGGATTGTCGCGCATCTTCTTCAAAGACAATTTTTCCAAGATTGGATTGTCATTTCTAGCAAAGTTTCCAAACGTGGATTGTCATACTCCTTCTCTGTTTGGAAAATTTTTCCAAGTTCAGATTGTCATACATTCATCGATTCATTGTCAAGTTTTTCGAGATTGGATTGTCATACACCCAGTTCCCTATGTCAAAATTTCCCAAAGGATTGTCGTAGGTCTCTACTCATCGTGAATTTCGGCAAAGGTTCCTCAAACGCGGATTGTCAATTGTGGCAATATTTTCCTACAAGGATTGTCGCATAGCATTGGCAAATTTCCAAGGTGGATTGCTTTCAAGAGTTATATTTCAAGATGTGGATTGTCGATCGTATCCAAGTTCTTATGACAAATTGTTACGAAGCATTGGCAACTTTTCCAAAATTGATTTTGGAAAATTTTCAGAGATACGGATTGTCGCTTCATCGTGGAAACATTTCCAAGGATGGATTGTTACGAAACATTGACAACTTTCCCTAAATCGGATTGTCATACATCATACAAAAGTTGTTGTTAATTGTTCCTACAGAAAAGAGGATTGTCATCACCCAAAGCATCGGCAGCAAAGTTCAAGCGAGCTTTAAGGATCGACAGGCATAGATCTTCGGTAATTTTCTTCGGAATATTATCGCAACAACTGAGGATGGCTTCAGGAGAAGTAATCTTCGATCATATTCCCTGGCTTGCAGAAGATGGTCAACAGGCGGTAGAAGGTTGCTTAAGGCGAAGCAATATTTGATAGTATTCTCTGGCTTGCAGAAGACTATCACAACGGAAATTCGAGGCAGTAACAGGCGTAGCAGTCTTCAGGCGGTACCCACTAGCTTGAGGAAGATCGTCAAAAAAAGGAAAATCTCTTTGTTTAGAGATGCGTGAACATATCAAAAAGCTCTTTTGTTCAGAGAAGAGTGAACATCAAAATAGCAAGACGGCATTCCCTAGCTTGTGGAAGGTTGACGCATCAGTAAATAGAAAAATCGGTTACCTCCAGAGATGTGTGCTCGACGGTGCAAGATACGCGTTTCTTAACTCTTTTATCTGATTAACTAACGCTGCAGTTATCGGCGTTACAATATTGATTTATGATCGCAGAACTTTCTGAATCATTCTCCGTCCCTATCGATACTTTGACTTTTGTTTTCGAAACATAAGTTTCTCCAAACTTAGTCAAAGTGGGGGCTTTTGTAGACACCCATTTGTGTCTCCCCAAAAAAAAACCTAGTGATGAATATTTTTTGCGTTGAATCATAATCGAATGAAGTGAAAGTGTGAAAAGTCTAATGTTGCGATTAGTTTTTATCAAAAATCTTTCTTTCTGTTTTTGAAAACGCTCTATTTAATGAAAATATCCAGTATAGTTTAGTTTGGTCCATGACAAGGGTCCAATAATGGTGTAATTTGATAGGGATCGAAAAGAGCTTTCCAACGACATATTATAAGCCCAATTCCGATGAATTATGAGGAAGTTATGGCCAAAATACTAAATTGGGCCCGGTTTGGTTCTTACATACGGCCCAATGATCTACAGGAGGGCCTATTATTAATTTTCATTCCTAAAGCTATTAGGAGTGATTATAGTCTTTTAGAATACTCTAGAAGTTTCTCTTAAATCCTAAAGGAGTTAGGGTTGATAATTATGTTTCAAAGAGTTTGAAATTGAATAAAACTTTCCTTTTAAATCCTAATTCTATTCGAATTTAAAGATGTTAAAAGACAGTCATATATTATTTTTGTGCCTCATAATCTATATCCAAATCTTATATGGTTGGATAGATCTTGAAATTATCTTTCCAATGATATATTATAATATTAATTTTGAGCTATGACGAAAAAGATATGAATGGAATACGAAAACATATCCAAAACTGACACCCTTCACTATTTTGGCCATATCTTTTTATCTACAAAATATTTTAATTGTATTACAATTGAGTTGGAAATTAGACTTCAAGATCTTTCCATCGACTTCTAGATCAAAAGATATGATTAAAAACAAAATCCGTAAAAACTGTTTTGCACCGCCTAGCGACGATTTCGTCGCCTGATGACGAGCTCTGTCGTTGGCAACAAAGGGTAGTTTTATTCCTTTTCAAACTCTAATTTGTTTCTATCGATTCTGGACTATTTTCTTATAAATAGGGACCCTAGGCCTCCGTTTTCAATAACCAGAATTCTCTAATTTTCTCTTTCTCTAAGCTAAAGCTTATTCTCTCTCTCCCTCTTTCTAGCCTAGCCCTTTTACAAACACAATTCCTCATACATTAGCACTAGACACGCTTAGCCAAGTTCGAAGTTGCCTTCGCCCAAGACGTGAAAGGTTTGATATTTTTGAGGTTTGGTCCCAAATCCCTATTTCAATTATTTGATTTAATATTTTCCTTGAAGTTACAAACGTGTGTATTTTGTAATTAGAAAGAGGTACGAGGCATCCAAGTAAGTAATTTAATTTTCTAATTATTCTTTTGATATAGAAATCATGCATAGATTGTTATTTTGATTCCTAGTATCATGTTAGGATGTTTTATTGCTTCCTAGCATCATGTTTAGGGTAATAATTAAGTTTCTTATATCAATTATGATTTTTATGATGCTTCCTATTTTCTTTCCTTATAGCATGTTAGTATCATGTTAGGGTTAAAGCTTTGATCTTTATTGTTTAGTGACATTCTAGGGTTTGTTATTAATCTTTTTAGTATCATGCCTAGGATCTTGGTATTATTATGCTTTAACATGATTATTTTAATTATGATTGTTATAATTGTTATTTTAATTATGATTATTATGATTATTATTATTATGATTATTATGTTGCTTGATATTATTTTTGTTATTGCTTGATCACGTCTTTTATGCATGTTTAAAGGAAATTTGTACTTGTAATCACGCATAATAAGATAATTAATAATCTTGTTTAGGATAATATGATTATAATTCAAGTGATCACCAATAATATATTTGTTTGTGCATTAATATTCAACCAACATAGATTAAACAGGTTTAGGGTAAACCTATTGATTGTATGTTAGTCAGAAAGCGCACATGAATACGAGTAGAATAAAGTAGAGGCCTATTTTATAGGGTGAGTTCTTTCTCTTTTAGATTGGATTCGTACCCTCATCCTCGAACACCGGTCATGGTTCCAGACCTATTGGAGTTGACGATCTCATGGATCGTTAAGAGGTGTAACCTTCACCTTGTGAACGGTTTACAAGTTCATAAAACTTGTTGGCGACTCTTTTGCTCTAGCTTCCTTCCCTTTGGACGCCACCGTACTTTCACAACAAAAAATCGCGTTTATACCGACTGAATTACCGACCAAATATATAATTAGTTGGTAATAGTAAAATTTACCGACCGAATTAATATTAGTCGTTAATTACCGACTGAATATATTTCGGCCGGTAATTACCGACTGATATCAAATATTACCGACTGAATTTCGGTAAGTAAAATAGTCATTTCAAAATAAATTTATACCAACCGATTTCCCGACCAAATGCGGCCAGTAAAAAAATTTAATGAAAAGGGTTTGCTAACTGATTCATCCATTTGCTCGACCAATCTTTGAAAAAAAAGAGGGTGAGAAAGGTTGCTTGCGGCAGAGGAGAACAACCCACGCATCCAACCTTTAAGGGCCATCACCGGAGCCTCGCCGGAGCCACGCCGGAGCTGCTTTGAACCGGGTAAGCTCTCTCTCTCCCCAATTCTTTTCACATTGCTATATTTCACTTGTTTCACATATTTTTCTAACTTAAATTACTTGATGTTTTTGAAGAGGAACTCCACCACCACCTCCACCACCGTCGGAGTACACCACCGCCACCATCTACATTCCTACCACCAACAATCTACAAGGTTTTTTGTTCCTCCATTTTTATTTAATTTTCCCCAAATTTTCAAAACCCTAACCCTAGATTTATTGAAATTGAATTGGGAAAAACTTGATAAAGTAACTTGAGGGGTTTTTTTTTGTAGATATATTGAAGATTTTGATGATTGAAGGAACATTTTGAATTTAATTTGGGGTATGTTTAATAATTTTAATTGTATACTTTTTTTGTTAGTTTATACATGTCCAAGTATATTTTCACTTATGTCTATAAGTTTAAAGTTTATAGATTGTTGATTTTGGTCTATTAGTGTATTAAGTTAGTTGAAAATATGAATTATTTCTAGCTTGATAAGACGTTTTTTTTTTTTTTTTTTTATCATTTGTAGATTTCATATGGTTGTAAAATGATGTTATTTTACATTAGATTTTGGTTTTCACTATTAGATGGTTGTTGCTAAAGTATGTTGATATGTTATATGTTTTATTTTAAGTTATATGATAGAAATATTGTAAAATAATATTGTTAGTAAACATCTTGTTTTGTATTTTTTATTTATTTGTTGTCTTATGCTCCGTAAATGATGTAAGTTCACATTCTTTTGTTGTTTCAAGTCTTAAATATATTTCTCTAAGTACATTTATCATGTTTTGAGTGTTGATTGAAATATTTCATTTAAAATATATGTAGTAGGAATGTTAGATCTAATTTAGGCCTTTGTTTCTCAATTCCATTAGACATTTTGATGTTCTTTCAAGTGTTACAAACTTACAATTACCTATGCAATCTACTGGATGTTATACTCCATATATTATGCCCATTTTTGTAAGTTTATGATTTCATGCTATTCAAATCACGTGAATTGGTAAATTTTTAGGTGTATGTAGATGTATTACAATGTTGTATAACTTCTTCCTTTTTCATTGTTATTATTAATGCATTTGTGATGTGACATGTTTAGAAGTTCTTACAATGAAACGAAGAGAACGAGGCTGGATGTATGATAGGCTTGATGTACATACTCTGAAGTCCGATCTCTTAAAAGGAGTTGAAGAATTTGTTAAGTTTTGTAAACTCCATCCTGAGAATAAAAACCCTAGAGAGATTAGATTTCCTTGTCCTCAGTGCAAGCATAAATGTCTCCTAGATGAGGACATAGTGAGAGTACATATATATAAGAAGGGGTTTGTTCCTAATTATTACAATTGGTTGTATCATGGTGAAAGAATTCATGGTGCTAGTTGATCTGCTTCAAATCCTTATCAGGAGATGGTTATTGATGCGTTTGGGAGTAACCAAGATGACTTTGGTGAAGAAGAGGCAAATAACATCCTAGAAGAACCAAATGCAAGGGCAAAGCAGTTTTTTGATCTTCTTGAATCCGCTGAACAACCATTGTGTGATGGTAGCAAAATGTCAGTGTTGGAGTTGGCTTCTAGAATTATTGCATTGAAATGTGAATACAATTTGGCACATAGATGTATTGATGGTTTCACTTCTTTGCAGAATGAAGTTGTGCCCGACAACAACAACATACGTTCTACCTTCTATGACACGAAAAAGGTTGTTAAGGGATTGGAACTTCCTCATCACAAGGTCCATGCATGTCCTAAGGGTTGCATGCTTTTTTGGAAAGGGGATACTGAATTACAAAGATGTAAAATTTGTGACTTTGAGAGATACAAGAAAACATCTAGGGGCACCTTGGTTCCTTTGAAAGTTCTTACCTATTTCCCGATCACACCAAGGTTGCAAAGACTGTTCTAATCCAAGAATGTTGCGGATGAGATGACTTGGCATGTAGAGAACCCCCGAATTCAGAACACAATGGCTCATCCTAGTGATAGTGAAGCGTGGAAGCACTTTGATAGAACTTTTCCTGATTTTGCCTCTGAGCCCCATAATGTTCGGTTGGGTTTGTGCACCGACGATTTTGCACCGCATGGTAATTTTGGTGGGCATTACTCTTGTTGGCCTGTCATTCTTACACCTTACAATTTGCCTCCTTCCATGTGCATGAAAAAACCATTCATGTTTCTTTCATTGCTTATTCCGGGCCCGAAAAATCCAAAAGGAAACTTGGATGTGTATATGCAACCTCTAATTGAAGAGCTTAAGCAGTTGTGGGAAACTGGTGCCACGACTTACGACATCTCAAGGAGACAAAACTTTAACCTTCGAGCTGCAATCTTGTGGACCATTAGTGACTTTCCAGCTTATGGAATGCTTTCAGGATGGACTACAGCCGGGAAAAAAAGCATGTCCTTACTGTATGGATAAAAGCAAAGCCTTTGGGTTAAACATGGAGGTAAAGTTTCGTGGTTTTATTGTCATCGTCAATTTCTCGATTTGAATCACCCTTACAGAAGAAATAGAACCGCATTTTGTAAGAACAGAGTTGAAAAGAACTCACCACCACACATAATGTCCGAAGATGAGTTGTGGCACATGGTGAAGTACTTGCCAAAAGCCAAATATGGACCCGAAGCACTTAAACGGTTGAAGAAGGCAAAAAAAGGGTGGTTCAAACAAACTTCTTTTTGGGAATTGACGTATTGGAAGCATTTGTTGATTAGGTACAACTTAGATGTTATGAACATTAACAAGAACTTCTTTGATAAATTGATTCATACAATGATGGATGTGAAGAAGCATACCTCAGACACGACAACTTCAAGAAAAGATTTGGCAGAATATTGCAAGCGGCCCCAACTAGAATTAGTTGAAGATGAAAGGGGAAAGATAGCATGCCGAAAGCACCATTCACACTTGATAAAGCTCATAAAAAGGTATTATGTGAGTGGGTCCAAAATTTGAGGTTTTCAGATGGCTATGCTTCTGACTTGACAAGATGTGTTGCCTTACAATCATGTAAGTTGCATGGCATGAAAAGCCATGACTTTCATGTCTTCATGGAACGATTACTACCGGTTTCTTTGAAGGAATTTCTTCCTGATCAAGTTTGGAAAGCAATTACCGAGATCAGTTAGTTCTTTCGAGATTTGTGTTCTTCTACAATTACTTTGAGTGACATGGAACGTTTGGAGAGTAACATTGCTGAGATTCTTTGCAAGTTATAGAAGATTTTTCCTCCATCCTTTTTCATTTCCATGGAACACTTACCTGTTCACTTACCATATGAGGCACGATTGTGTGGCCCAGTTCATTATCGGTGGATGTATCCATTTGAGAGGTAATAACTTTGAAGAACTCTTTCACTCACACGATTCCTTTTGTTTAGCTACCGTTACTTTCATACATTTTATTAAGTTTAAAACCCTTAAAAAAAATCATACCATTACTTCAGGTTCCTTAACCACTTGAAACGCATGGTTGGAAATAAGGCTCGTGTTGAAGGTTCTATATGCAATGCTTAATTATGTGAGGAGATTACGAATTTTTGTTCTAAATACTTTCAACTTGAGATTGACACAAAATCAAGAGACTTGGGAAGGAATGTAACCACAGGATCTGACCTTGAAATGCATGATGATCATGTCTCAGAAATGTTTAGGGTAGATTGCGGTCGTGTGCCTAATGATGGTCGTCGTCGATTTTTAGATGATGCCGAGTACGACTGAGCCCATCTTTATGTTTTAGCAAATAGTGGCATTATAGGCGAATATGAAAGGTAAAGTCCAACTGCTTGCCCTTTAAGCTTGTACAAGGCTTATCTTTGAGTGTAATAAACGATATTTCTTACATTGGTTGTTTTTAATTTTAATAGGCAATTTGAGGAACATGTTGTTCATACACGACCAAGCATAAAACCCGAGGAAGTTTGGGGAAAGTGTGAGCATGAGTTTCCTAAGTGGTTTAAGTCAGAAGTAAGTGTTATGATACATTATTTTGCACTTGTACTCTTCAGTATTTTGTGTCATTATCTAATGTATTTTTCATACATTTAACTTAGGTTTTGAGATAAAAAAACATCTAATGATGTTATTCGTGCTTTGGCGATGGGTCCATTCAAACAAGTTCGATGTTGGAGTCAACTTTTTGTTAATGGATATAATTTCCAAACTTATGACTATGGAAAAAACAAGTCCACTTTGAATTATGGAGTTTGTGTTTCTAGCCAAGATGAAGTTGACTACTTTGGTCTTTTGGATGATGTGATTGAAGTTGTTTACATCGGCAATGCCGTGTATAGGACTTTGTTGTTCAAATTCAAGTGGATGGACTCAGTCAATGGAATGAATGTTCATGAACAATACAAGCTTGTTGAGATTAACCATATAAAGAGATATCCAAAGTATGATCCTTTTGTATTGTCATACCAATCAACTCAAGTGTATTTTGCACCTTATCCCATCTTAAAGAGGGATCGCATTCAATAATGGGCTGTGTTTAAGACAAAGGCAAGGTCAACAAGCTGCAATTGAGGAGGCATCAGCTTTATTAGCACCAGATGACATACCAGAATATATTGGTGGTGATGAGCACGATATTGATGAAGTTGATGTTGAGGAGTATATGTCAGATGATGTTGAAGAAGATGAAATTAGTGATGAGGATGAATCAACAGAGGACTCAAGTGACAGTTTTGATGAAGAGGTAGAAAGTGATGACGAGGAGGATGATGATTATTTTGCATTTTATTGATTGTTGTTTCTTTGTCTTTTTTTATTATTTTTTTTCTAATTAGTATGAATGTGTGTTAGGCCTTATTGTTAAGGTGTATATGTGACTTTAACGCATTACTACAAACACTAGCTTTATCTTGCATGTACACATTCTCGTTTGAAGTTCACAATATACTTTGTTGGACATAGTTTATGGATGCTTGACAAGTTTGTTGTGATGTTCTTTTTTCATGACCTTTGAACAGGAAATTATGTGGAAAAAATTCAAGGCAAAAGTTTCTAACACAGGTGGTAGTATCAGTAGCGGAGGAGTAGGTGGTAGTAGCAAGAGTGGGGCTGGTGGCGGCCGAGGAGTAGGTGGTAGTAGTAGTAGTGGGGCTAGTGGAGCCGAGGAGTAGGTGGTAGTAGAAATAGTGGGGCTGGTGGCGGCCGAGGAGTAGGTGGTAGTAGCAATAGCGGGGCTAGTGGCGGCCGTGGAGCAGGTGGTAGTAGCCATAGTGGGGCTGGTGGCGGCCGTGGAGTAGGTGGTTGTAGCAATAGTGGGGCTAGTGGCGGCCGAGGAGCAAGTGGTGCTGGTGGTTGCGGCTCCCAGCAAGCAATGGAAATAACACAACCTTCAACTGAAGAGGAGATAAATGATGGCGGTGAACAAAACACGGATCAAGAGATGACTGATATGGAGGCAACTCCCGATGGTCATATAGTGTTGGAGCCTGGTGGTTTTTGGTATGTATCATATCTATTTGTATATTTCAGTATAAAATGTTGTATCTTGTCACACTAACTTGTTTAATTTTTATTCCCATATTTTAGGTTTGATCATAACAATGTAAGTCGGGCTATCACGGACATATTTCAAGGGTACTTACGTAAACCATATCGAAATTACAGTCAGGTCGATGATGACACAAGACAACATTGGTTCACCTTGTTTCATTTTAGCTGCAATTTGTTTAGTAGGTGGATATAAATTAAAAGGATCTAAATGAAGTTTTTAACTGATTTGTAATTTGTTTTTGCAGCAACAATTTGTTTAGAGGCCCGAGTTAGATCATGAGGTTAGGAAGGAGTACCACGTCAAAGCAGCTAAGCGCTTGAGGGAGTTATTTTACTATGTAACTCAAAAGTGCAATGGAAAGAAACCAAAATGGCTAGCTGATGATATCAATTAAGCTTGGATGAAAACCCTTGAAGATCCAACTTTTGTAGCCAAATCTGAACAAGCTAAAAAGAACAAGAAAGGTGGTTCCCTGTCTAATCCAATTGAACCGTCTCACCTTAGAACTTGCTTTGTTTTTGTTATTTAAATTCTTAGGCAGTTATAAATACATATATTTGACATGATTCAAGCCTTTATAAATTCATTAGAAAGATCATGTAGAAAATGAGAAAGCTTCTTCCCATTATGCCCGAATTTGCTTGATTTTGGTTCTACAAGACCTTAAAACTTTAGAACTTGCTGTTTTTTTGTGATTTCTATGCTTATGAAGTTATAAATACATATATTTGACATGATTCAAGCCTTTATAAGTTATTTAGAAAGATCATGTAGAAAATGAAAAAGCTTATTCCCATTATGCCCAAATTTGCTTGATTTTGGTTTTACAAGACCTTAAAAACTTAGAATTTGCTTTTGTTTTTGTATTTGTGATTTCTATTTTTATTCAGTTATAAATACATATATTTTACATGATTCAAGCCTTTATAAGTTCGTTAGAAAGATCATGTAGAAAATGGGAAAGCTTCTTCCCATTTTGCAAGAATTTTGGTTGATTTGGTTCTACAAGACCTTAAAACCTTAGAATTTTCTTTGTTTTTGTGATTTCTATGCTTAGGAAGTTATAAATACATATATTTGACATTATTCAAGCCTTTATAAGTTCATACGAAAGTTCATGTAGAAAATGGGAAAGCTTCTTCCCATTATTCCCGAATTTGCTTGATTTTAGTTCTACAAGACCTTAAAACCTTAGAACTTGCTTTGTTTTTGTGATTTCTATGCTTAGTCAGTTATAAATACATATATTTGTCATGATTCAACTTTTATAAGTTCATTAAAAGAGCATGTAGAAAATGGGAACGCTTCTTACTATTTTGCCCGAATTCGCTTGATTTTGGTTCTATAAGACCTTAAAACCTTATAAGTTGCTTTGTTTTTGTGATTTCTATGCTTTGGAAGTTATAAATACATATATTTGACATGATTCAACCCTTTATAAGTTCATTATAAAGAGCATGTAGAAAATGGGAACGCTTCTTACTATTTTGCCCGAATTTGCTTGATTTTGGTTCTATAAGACCTTAAAACCTTATAAGTTGCTTTGTTTTTTGTGATTTCTATGCTTAGGAAGTTATAAATACATATATTTGACATGATTCAAGCCTTTATAAGTTCATTGGAAAGATCATGTAGAAAATGGGAAAGCTTCTTCCCTTTATGCCAAAATTTGCTTGATTTTGGTTCTACAAGACCTTAAAACCTTAGAACTTGCTTTGTTTTTGTGATTTCTAAGCTTAATAAGTTATAAATACATATATTTGACATGTTTCAAGCCTTTATAAGTTAATTATAAAGAGCATGTAGAAAATGGGAATACTTCTTACTATTTTGCCCGAATTTGCTTGATTTTGGCTCTACAAGACCTTAAATTATTAGAACTTGCTTTGTTTTTGTGATTTCTATGCTTAGGAAGTTATAAATACATATATTTGACATGATTCAAGCCTTTATAAGTTCATTAGAAAGATCATTTAGAAGATGGGAAAGCTTCTTCCCATTATGCCCGAATTTGCTTGATTTTGGTTCTACAATACCTTAAAACCTTAGAACTTGCTTTTGTTTTTGTGATATCTATGCTTAGGAAGTTATAAATACATATATTTGACATGATTCAACCTTTATAAGTTCATTAGAAAGAGCATGTAGAAAATGGGAACACTTCTAACTATTTTCCCCGAATTTGCTTGATTTTGGTTCTACAAGACTTTTAAACCTTAGAATTTGCTTTGTTTTTGTGATTTCTATGCTTAGGAAGTTATAAATACATATATTTGACATGATTCAAGCCTTTTAAGTTCATTAGAAAGATCATGCAAAAAATAGGAAAGCTTATTCCCATTATGCCCGAATTTGCTTGATTTTGGTTCTACAAGACCTTAAAACCTTAGAACTTGCTTTTTTTTTGATTTCTATGCTTATGAAGTTATAAATACATATATTTGACATTATTCAATCCTTAATAAGTTCATTAGAAAGAGCATGTAGAAAATGGGAACGCTTCTTACTATTTTGCCCGAATTTGCTTGATTTTGGTTCTACAAGACCTTAAAACCTTAGAACTTGCTTTGTTTTTGTGATTTTTAAGATTAGGAAGTTATAAATACATATATTTTACATTATTCAAGCCTTTATAAGTTTGTTAGAAAGATCATGTAAAAAATGGGAAAGCTTCTTCCCATTTTGCGAGAATTTTGGTTGATTTTGGTTCTACAAGACCTTAAAACCTTAGAACTTGCTTTGTTTTTGTGATTTCTATGCTTATGAAGTTATAAATACATCTATTTGACATGATACAAGACTTTATAATTTCATTAGAAAGATCATGTAGAAAATGGGAAAGCTTCTTCCCATTATGCCCAAATTTGCTTGATTTTGGTTCTACAAGACCTTAAAACCTTAGAACTTGCTTTATTTTTGTGATTTCTATTCTTATGAATTTATAAGTACATATATTTGACATGATTCAGCCTTTATAAGTTCATTAGAAAGAGCATGTAGAAAATGGGAACGTTTCTTACCATTATGCCCGAATTTGCTTGATTTTGGTTCTACAAGACCTTAAAACCTTATAACTATCTTTTTTTTTTTGTGAATTCTATGATAAGGCAGTTATTAATAAATATATTTGACATTATTCAAGCCTTTATAAGTTTATTAGAAATATCATGTAGAAAATGAGAAAGCTTCTTCCCATTTTGCCCGAATTTGCTTGATTTTGTTTCTACAAGACCTTAAAACCTTATAACTTGCTTTGTTTTTGTGATTTCTATGCTTATGAAGTTATAAATACATATATTTGACATGATTCAAGCCTTTATAATTTCATTAGAAAGATCATGTAGAAAATGGGAAAGCTTCTTCCCATTTTGCCAGAATTTGCTTGATTTTGGTTCTACAAGACCTTAAAACCTTAGAACTTGCTTTGTTTTCGTTATTTCTATGCTTATTCAGTTATA